AAAATTTAAAGACAAAATCCATAGAGAGGAGTAGGATATCCCTACCTCGAAGTTTGAGCCAAAAAGGAGATGAAGACTCGAAGATCAACGTGCTCCAAATCCAAACTTTTTCAGATTAAGTCGAAGCTCTCAACGCCCTCTATCTTTTTAACAAAGGCCCTAGGCTAGATTCACACTCTAGGGAGATCAAATCTTAGAGAGAGTGTAAGTTTAGAGAGAGAGAGTCTCGGATCTAGGGTTTGAAAGAAAAAGAAAGTGAAAAACTGATGTTCAAAAACGCTACTGTCCGCTGATATAAAACACGCTCGCTCGAGCGAAGCCTTTGTCGCTCGAGCGACCAGACACAGAAAACTCTCGCTCGAGCCAAGAAGTTCTCGCTCGAGCCAAAAACTCAGAAGTGCGCTCGAGCGAAAGAATGCTCGCTCGAGCTAACAACTCAAACCCTCAGGTCTGGAACCAGAAGCACGCTCGAGCAACAGACATCTCGCTCGAGCGAAGAACAAACCAGACTGCTCGAGCGAAGAAAGCTCGCTCGAGCCAAGAAATGCAGTTCTCAGGTCCAGAACTAGATGCAATCGCTCGCTCGAGCGAAGCCACTCTGGCTCGATCCACCAGGCACGAACTCAACTCTCGCTCGAGCGACCAACTTCTCGCTCGAGCGAAGGTCCAAAAATCTGGGCAGCAGCACTAGGCTCCCAAACACAACCAACCTATAACAAACCTGCCCAACACATCCTATAACTCAAATACGAAGTAAAAAGGATGTAAACAAGATAATAATCAACTACCAACATCCACGGACACATGTCCGGATCACTGTACAACAAGGGTAAATTCGGGATCGCTATAGGTTGCTCGGGTTGAGCCTGCCCAAGTTGCACCCCTAGTCTCAAGTATTATTGGAGCTTCCATAATGACCAGAGCACAGCCAAGGGGGTGGCACTCCAAAACAACCTCTCTTTCTTCTTAGTAGTACCCTATATAAACACTCCATTTTGACCGGTTCTAAGATTTGGACACTTTCTTTTAATTACTCGATAATGAAAATAAGAATGTATTTCTCACAAAATTCTTAGTAAGAAAGATGGAATTTGAGCTCTATTCCCAACTCTAAGCCTGTTTTGGCAAAATGTGTAAGTCTTGTTAAAAACTCTCTTTTGAATTCATTTTTAAACTTTAAAAATAAAACATTTCTCAAGAAATTGAGTAAAGAACAGTGTGAAAATAGGAGGAAATGATGATAATTTTGTTGAAAAAATCTATTTTGTGCAAAATAGTCAAATCTGCCAACGTTTTGTCCAGCTGACTAATTTGCCCCAAAAAAGGGTAGTTTT